ATACGAAACATAGCTCAAAGTAATAATATAAAACAAGAAAATAGACAAGAAATGTAGGGAGCAAGAGAGAAGAGATTCTTATTCTTCCATGTATTCAAGTGTGTTACAAAATGAGTTCTCATCCTCTATTTATAGTACAACATAGAGGTATACCAAAAGAATTCCATAAGTATGCCATTAAACATTTGAGATCATGGAGGAAGATCATGGGTAGGTTATGAAGGTGAGGGAGTTACAACAATAATGGTGAGAAGTAGTGGGGGTTATCTACATAATGGAGAAGAGTAGTGGGAGTTATATTTGATTAGTGGACATCCATATAAATATGTATTTCATAACACTCCCCCTTGGATGTCCATAGATAATGTGCCTCGTTAAAACCTTACTAAGAAAAAACCGAGGAAAAAAATCTTAGTGAAGGAAAAAGAGTACACGTATCTTGTAATACGCATTACCTATATCATCCTATAACTAGAGGGTTTGGGCATCACATTGTATACACTTGAATACATAGAAGAAATAAGATTCTCTCCTCTCTTCCTTTCTACATTGTTGTCTATTTTATTGTTCTATATTGTTACTTTGAGCTAAGTTTCATAACACGTTATCAGCACGAAGCTTTAATCAACCTAGAAGATATGAATGGTTGACAACCTTGGACCAATTTGGTTGAACCAATGGAAATATGGGCATTATTACGTATGCCATATTAATGTTTAGTTTGCCTCTATTGTCCAGGGAGTATTATTTTTCAAATTATACCATAAATTGTGTATTTAGCTTATGTTAAAATTTAAGATTTGTAGTTGCTTTATTTAGAAAAAACTAAGCTTTGATTTTAAGTTTTCATGCTCGTATGGTTGTATATGTCCACTAACTTTATTCTTAGTTCTAAAATTGATCTTATACAATTACAACATCATGCTATCATTGATTTTCCATGATATTAAAAGATCTTTGTGAAATATTAAAAAGCATTCTGGTCATGTTATGTATTAACGAGGACTTTTAAGATCGATGGCCTAATCTAATTAGATGCAACATTTTTATGCTGATAATTGACAAAGTGATATCATTATGTTTTACTAGCCTATTTTGACATCATCTGTATTAAAACAGAATATGCTAGCAATAGTTATTACTTAAGATTATTTATTTTTTTAAGTTAAGTATATTTAGTTATGTGTTTCAATTCTTGTGAGTATTTTATTTAATCATTGTATTAGTTTACAGTAATACATCACATAGTAATAACGCTACATGGTGACTCTCTTATTGACATGTTTATATATAGGATACTAGTACACGAGTTTGTACTCTATCATATTTTTATTGATAATAGTTCTTATCATTTCTATTTTGCTTATTTTTATGATAAATTTTACTATGTGGCTAGATAAAATTATATTCCATTCCTGATGTGAATCAGACCATTTGTGATAAACATTATATAAGGATAAGACGGTGGGTTCAAGTCCCAACGCACCATGAGGGTAAGACATCGGATTTTGAGTCCTGATGATCCATGATTGTAAAAGTTGGGTTCGAGTCCCAACTCATTATGGCCTAACATGTCTTTATATGGGTCAGGCATTGGGTTTGAGTTCCAATGCACCATATGGATGACATAGTGATGACTAAAGAAAAATAATATATTTTTCATGGAAAAGCATGAATCTTGTCCCACTTGATTTGCACCATTCTTGAAGTGAATGTGGTAGCAATGCATAATAAGTAAATGAAGACAAGTGGTTGACCAATGAACATGCGTGTGCCATTGATCAAATAATAATAGTCATCATTATGGTAATTGTAAAAAATGAGAACAATAAGGGTTCTCGAAGTAATCCTTCAATAGGTGAAGGAAATGTTTACCATCAAATTGGTATGAAAAATTTATAAAGCACGTCGCGATAATTATACTCCATTCTTTGAAGAGAATGTGACTTGTGCATTGAGAATGCAGATTCATTCCTGAAGGTGAATGTAACAATATGTGGTAAAAGTAATGAATAAAGACGTGCAATGCATGATTGGATACACAACACAACTCACCTCTAAGGGAGGTTTGAGAGAAAGAGAGATAATGAATATTACTGTGTGATTACATGAATATGTCATTGGTCGCGTACATGTGGTACGCCAAAAATAATTTGACATGCCTTATAAAAAGTTATTAAAGGCAACAGTAAAGCAAGAAATAATTTTGCTTATGATGATTTTGACCATGACAATTATTATGATATGATTTTCTTCGTGAAGGAGACATTCACCATATGGATGGTGTGACAAAAGATCTTGTAGTACAAAATCAATTAAGAGCTCCGGAAGAGCTAATTTGTTACTACCCGGATGAATAAAATTGTTCATGACATTGATATTGCAGTAAGTCTCAAAAGAAACTTTTTGAGTTTCAAATGTATTAGCCAAAGTGGTTGGCATATTGAGACTATAAATGAAAGGAAGATTGATTATCTTCATATTACTATAACATACCGGGTAAATATGAAAGGTTACCCGACTTTTCTTCTATTTGTACTACAGATGTATAAGCATGATGATAGAATCACATGTCATAAGTAAACTAGAGGTTTATTGAAATAAATATTAGTTGGCATGACCGGTTGACCATCCCGGTTCAATTATGATGTGAAAATTGATTGAGAATTCACATTGGCATATATTAAAGAAATATAAGATTCTTTAAGAATTCTCTTGTGATATTTTTTTTTTCCTCATGATATACCAGTTAAGGTTGGGATTGAATCCCTTGATATCTGGAACGAATAAAAGGTGATATATATGTATGGGCCCAATCACCTGCCATGTGGACCGTTTACTATTATATGATTTTAATAGATGCATCTATTGCATGGTCACATGTGCGTTTGTTATCAACTTGCACTTTGATTTTTGCAAGGTTGTTTGCTCAAATTATTAGAGCACAATTCCAGAATATATATATATTATGATAATTTATCTTGATAATGCTGGTTTAAATCCAAGTTGGTTTAGCAGAAATTGTGTGCCTCCAATTATAGCTAAACCATTGGTTATGACAATAAAATTCGCAAATAGAAATTTGGTATGAGGTATATTATTTAATATACAACAACACTTGTACGCATCTAGCCAACAAGTTATGATAAATTCTCCCCATCACAATTGGTTCACGGTCAGGAACCAAATATTCCCATCTAGAAATATGGATGTGCTATATGATTTAATTGTGCTGCCACAATGCACGAAGATGGGTTCCCAAAGAAGGTTGAAAAATGTGTTGGTGATCCCGACATTAGGGGGAGAAAATGGGCAGCTGAAAAAGTGATACGTGAAATGAATTATTATGAATACATCTAGATCCTCGTACAAGAAAATGTGAACTTGAAGTTCAAGTGATAACGTTTCTAAAATATTTCCAGGCACATTGCTGACCCAAAGCTAAATGTCATATTCCAGCTGCTAATGCTCCAAATAGAATAACGTCCATGATGGATAGAGCTTATGGCACGCATGAAGCGTAATAGACTAATCGGTTCCAAAGATAAAACTTCTTGAAAAAGGAGAGGAGCAAATGTTCAAGATGGTCATAATAAGGAGGTAAGTGCTTTATAAGAGCACCATGACATAACATTTTATAAGACCTCATGGGAGAGGCTCAGGTACCTGAAAATAATGAGATCTCGATAAGTTATGTCTTTATTATGCGATGATGGAACCGATGTAAAATGACCGTCGACGATGTTGTTAATATAATGTAGCGCTCAATATTATTAATATTGACGAGGATCTTGAGCTCAAATCTGTCATGGAATTTGGACAAATAAATGATTGGCCAAATAAAAAATATGCAATGAAAATTGACTTCATCTGAAAAATATGAAGTTAGACGAATAGTCCCAACAACTGAAAGTATAAAGGCTATATGGAGATATTGAAATATGATTAGTATTATATTGAAAAAAGAATCCTTGATATAGATTTGTTTATTCTAACAAATATTGTCAAGGTTTTGTTGTTTATGCAAATGCAGGCATTTATTGAAGTCCGTTCTTCAAACAATCTATTTGTATGTGAGAAATTGTCATATTATCATTTCACAAGATGTGTGACTTTTCTTTAAAGAGAAGATTCCAATAATAATGAAGAAGATGATGTTTGCTTATCTCAATTGAAAGAAGAATATTGAAGGAGACTGAATAAATCACATATTTCATCAAAGTTCTTTGTCAGACACGATCTTCAACAGGATGATGAAATAGATGTTCAAGAAATTCCTTCAAGTGATAATTTGGCGGAATAATTCACGAAGGCATTGCCGATCTCAATATTAGAGAAGTTGTTATACAAGCTTGGAATTCGGCGTCTCCGAGAAATAAAGTGATATTTTCATCAGGGGGAGGCAAATACGCGTTGTACTCTTTTTCCCTTAGCTAAGGTTTTATCCCACTGGGTTTTCCTGGCAAGGTTTTTAATGAGGCAGCAAGTAATGCGTATTACAAGATATGTGTACTCTTTTTCCTTCACTAAGATTTTTTCCTCCATGGTTTTTTCTTAGTAAGGTTTTAACGAGGCACATTATCTATGGACATCCAAGGGGGAGTGTTATGAAATACATATTTATATGGATGTCCACTAATCAAATATAACTCTCACTACTCTTCTCCATTATGTAGATAACCCCCACTACTTCTTACCATTATGGATGTAACTCCCACACCTCCATGATCTTCCCCCATGTTCTCAATAGTTAATACCATGTTTATGGAGTCCCTTTGTATTACCTATATCATCCTATAAATAGAGGGTTTGGCATCACATTGTATACACTTGAATACATAGAAGAAATAAGATTCTCTCTCTTTTCCTCTCTACATTGTTGTCTATTTTATTATTCCATATTGTTACTTTGAGCTAAGTTTCATAGCAATATTTATAACAATAATAATAATTCAAAAGTCATGAAATTATAGGGTATTATGGTCACTTTCGGACTCGAGGATAGCGAAACTATAAGAGCGTATCTTTACTTCCACCTTCGCTTCCTCTTCCGGAATGGCTTTCGCCATGGAAATATCAACAATGGGTCAAGCCATGCAGCTCCATGCCCGGGTACTCAAGTCGGGACCCGAAGACCAAACCCATGCCCAAAACCTCAGCAAGCTTTTCACTTTCTCAGCTCTTTCACCTTCAGGTGACCTCACTTATGCCCGCCACATTCTCACCAATCTCCAAACCCCAAATTCATACTACTACAACACCATGATTCGTGCTTACTCGGACTCTCCCGACCCAAACCGGTCTCTTAGCCTTTTCCTTTCAATGCATTGCCGTGAAGAACCCGTTGTACCTGGACCCGACAAGTTCACTTATCCGTTTGTCCTTAAGGCTTGTTCGAAGTTGCGACATGCCCAGCTCGGGAAACAGATTCATGGGCTGATTTTAAAGTCGGGTTTAATGTCGGATCGTTATGTGAACAATGCACTAATTCATATGTATTCGGGCTGTGCTGACTCGGGTCTTGCATTGAAGGTGTTTGATGAAATGTGTGACAGAGATGTAGTTTCTTGGACCTCAATGATTGATGGGTTTGTGGATAATGATCGACCTATTGAAGCTATTGGGTTGTTTGAGCAAATGATGGATAATGGCGTGGACCCGAATGAAGCGACTCTTGTTTCAGTACTTAGAGCTTGTGCTGACACTGGAGCACTGAGTATTGGGCAAAAAGTTCATAACTTTGTTAAGGAACGGAATCTTAGTAAAAAGGCTAACGTTGGTACTGCACTTATTGACATGTATGCAAAATGTGGGTTTATAGAAAGTGCTAAAAAAGTATTTAATGAAACAATGGATAAGGATGTTTATGCTTGGACAGCAATGGTATCCGGTCTTGCAAGTCACGGTCTTTCAGAAGAGGCCATGGAACATTTTGAGCAGATGAAGAGTTGTAATGTGAAGCCGGATGAAAGAACGATGACTGCAGTTTTGTCAGCGTGTAGGAATGCTGGTTGGATTGGTAAAGGATTGTATCATTTAAGGAGTATGAAGAAGTATAAGTTAAGACCGACAATTCAGCATTACGGATGCATAGTTGACACGTTTGTGCGTGCTGGCCAGTTAGAAGAGGCCGAGCAGTTTATAAGGAAGATGCCAATTGATCCTGATGTCGTGTTATGGAGAACGTTGTTATGGGGTTGTAAAATTCATGGAGATGTTGAAAGGAGTGAACGCTTAGTGAAGGACGTTGAACTTTTGAATATGGACTCTCATGACTGTGGGAGTTACATACTTCTTGGGAATGTCTATGCAGCCTCGGGAAATTGGAAGGAGAAGGCGAAGATGAGAGAGTTGATGAATCAAAGAGGGCTAGTGAAGACACCAGGGTCTAGTAGGATTGAGATTGATGGGTTGGTCCATGAATTTACAGCTGGAGATTCCAGACATGTTGAAGCAGAAAATATTTATGCAAAACTGGATGAAATGGAGCAGAATGTTAGAAGGGAAGGTTATGATCCCAAAATCTCAGAGGTATTACTTGAAATAGATGATGATGAGAAAGCATCTCAGCTTCTAAACCACAGTGAGAAACTTGCAGTCTCATTTGGACTTATCAAAACAAATCCAGGAACTGTCATTAGGGTAGTAAAAAACCTAAGATCTTGTGAGGACTGTCATTCTTTCATGAAACTAATCTCGAAGTTATACCAAAGAGAGATCATCATTAGGGATCGTATCCGTTACCATCACTTTAGGGGTGGTGAATGTTCTTGCGGAGACAGATGGTGATTGTAATTGTCATTGGAAAAATGTACCAGAAGTTTGATTTTCACATTCTTGAAGAACACGGATGTTAATTTACCTGCTGCTTCGGCTCTAGAATTTTTTGCAACTGCTGCATGTTGCAGCTAAATTTTGGCATCAGTGACCTTAGTTTTGATCTCTCAATCGTTTATTTCACCAGTGCGACCAACATAAAACGAATACAGTGAGTATAGAGCCGCCAAGACAGTTACAGAGGAAACAAAGGGACAAGAAAGTCTAATCACAATGTTAAAGAATTTAGTGACAATAGACCCAATGAGGCTCGGGCCTTCTTTGGACCTAGCGTATAGTGGGAGATTAGTACACCGTGCTGCTGTTTAATCTTTAAGATTCTGTATTCTGAAGTTTGATAAAGATACTTTTGTTATTTGTTTGTCTCCCCTATTTGAGTGTGCATCGTTATTACACGCAACTTAGCACTGTTTAGGTCGCTATCAATGTGGTGGGTGCTTGTTAATCAAGATCCAGTTTCTAAACTTGAGAAGCATAGATATATACAGGTGGGTGCTTGGAAATGAGTATCCAGTTTTTAAAAGCAGAGATATGTGGAGCAATGACCAAATGCTATTTGGGGAGCTACCACAAACGTCAAGCTTTTCAGTTTTATTTCCACACTGCTAATACATTAGATTGACAGCCATATGCTTGCAAAGATGACAATGCTTTTATTAATTGTCACTGGAGACAAGAACTTTAAGAAACGGCCTTGAAGATGATAAAAGTGGAGGCTTCATTTCTATTTATCAGCAATCTTAGAGGGTGTTTGGCTAAGCTTATAAGCCGTTGTTAACTTATCTACGCGTTTGGTAAATACCAAAGGTGCTTGCTTATAAGTCAAGTGTTTATAAGCCAAAATAAGCTAAAAGCCATAAGTTGGTCTCCCCCAACTTATCAATTTTCAGTTTATAAGCACTTTTAGTTTGACCAATAATTTTACTATTTTATCCCTAAATAACCATTTTTAAATGTCCTAACCCACTCCGTATCCACAACTTCGTTCCACCCTTTTCTTTCCAAGACCAGCAATACTTTCGTTTTCTTCGTAATGTGTTGGATGAGAATCCTCTCCATTATTTTGTTAGATTCTTAGCTTATATTGTTGTGTAAGACCTTATATGCTTTTAATTCTTTAACTGTTAAAACAAATATTGTTTAAAATGATGAATTACTCTATCCTAGTAAAAAAAGGCTACATGTTAGTGTATTTTGCTTATTGTTCATAAACCTTTCATCTTTTTCTTTTCTTCTTGATGGAGATTTTTTTTTTTTTTTTTTTTTTTTTTTGCTTCTTCTTATTTTTTCTAAAGGAAAAAAAACACAAAATTCTTAATGTCAAATCACCGTAGTTATTGAGTTTTTACTTTGGGACTTCGAACTTATCATAATTGAATGTTTATTTTTAATTAGAAAGAAAGAAAATTTGAAAACATGTATTTGTTATTCAAATATTATACGCACTATTCAAGTATGTATACCAAAAATCTACAAATTATTAATAATTGTATATTAGGTTATCACAAAATAATTTATATTTAATTTAAAACAATCTTATCTGATAAATTTAGAACTAAAAAAGTAAATTGAAACATAAAATAATTTTCATTTGGAATAACTTAGAATTAAAATTCTTGCAATAATCATCCTCTTTTAGTGTGAACAGTCATAAGGGTATTTAAATTTTTTACATAAAAAAATTGCTTATCAGTTCTTATTTACCAAACACTTTAATTGTTTGTTATCTGTTTCGGCACTTTTATACAAACAGTAATTGTTTGTTATTTATAAAATTAGTTTCAACACTTAAAAATACTTTTTAGCACCTACTGCTTATCAGCCACTTTAAATTAGCTAGGCCAAACGCGTTCCATGAGCCGTTTGTTAAGGCATGGAATACGTAAACACTGAATAATTATAGGAAATAAGATAGCAAGTGAAATCTATATATTTATATAAAAGAGTGTCAAAGAAAAGTGAGGTGACACCTCTCTCGAACTAGGATTTTTGTTTATCTTTTTTCTCATTTTTTGATTTTTCCTCTTTTTATTTAGTTATGTAATTTGTTAAAAATTTTAAAGTCACCTCATTCAAAGAAAAGATGTAATTTCCCATTTTTGGTGCATTTACTGTTGCCTCCCCATTTGCTATATGTTACTTTTTCTTACGATGTCTTTTTTTTTTTGGTTCCATGGATTATGCCTTTTTGTATTCCATGAATGAGGTTTCCTAAATAAATTTTGCTATTATTGAACAATGCAAATATATTCTTATAAAAAAATTCAGAAGATATTGAGTGAAAGACATCTCAGAAGCAAGGCTTCAGACAGGGGTGTCTCGACATAATTGGGGACCAACAACTTAACTATAATAAGGGGTCCAATTTTATTTTTTTATAATCGATTTCTATAGTAATTATTTTTTAATTGATAATAAAGTTAGCTGATTTAATCACTCTTGAGATGTTGATTTTATGTATTTTTCTTTTAAAAAATTTCTATCCGTTGAGATAATTGTTAGACACTTGAAAAAAGAATCAAGCCTTTTTATGTAATTAAGTATATCGATTAGAGTATTATCTTCTACTTGTACTATTTTCTTTAACACTTTAATTTAAGATATAAATCTAAGCCATCAATATTAGAATAACTATTTTACTTTAAGGAACATCAAAGACTAACATAATATTTTTTTTAAATTCTCATCATTGTACAATCTCAAATTTTAAAAATAATAATTAAAGATTTTAGTGGTCAGAATGGGGAAAATGCAAAATAAAGGTTACATCAAGTTTAAAGAAATCATGAAGATATGTTTATTTTATCGGAAAGGACTTTTTTATTCCTCAACAGTCACATCAACTTCATAATAACAAATTTTTATCATAAAAAATTAATACATAACCTATTCCTTTAGAATTGGGGCCCCTCGAATTTGGAGGCCTAAGCATATGCTTTACTTGTCTAGCCCTTGAGCAACCGCTCGAAATTGGAGAGGCTAGTGGATTCTACAGCGCAGAGCCATTATCTAGAAAGAATCTTACAAATATTTTATTTTGGCTTTGAATGCCGGTTAACCAAAAGGCCTTTCATCAACTGGCAAAAGTATTCCATACAAGTGTGATTTTAAAATTAATTGTTGTAGAGAAAAGTTGTATGACCCAAAATTTAGATATTGGTTTATACAATTAGATTTATAGTGAAAAGTGTTAATCTAAGTCAATATTAATATTCAAATGATAGATCTAATATATTTATGAAGAATACCGCGTGTGTAGTTAGATAACACTATATTGGAGTAATAATGGAGCAATAAATGATTCAAGAGTATGAAAGGAAGCAATAAATGACAATAAATGGTATTTTAGTAAATAAATGAGTAGGGGTCACGTGACAAAGGTGAGATTTTCAATGATTCTTCTGACTATGATGGATAATGATAAGCCTTTGAATATTCCGATTCTTCTTGGATCAGGGAAGAAAAGATAGGTAGAGATGTAAAAAGGTAAACTTTGTATGTATATGATAAAGAGAGAATCTTCAGAGAATGTCATTATGTTCTTTACAAAAATTGTCCAATCCACCCTCTATGACTACATGTATTTCTATTTATAAGGGTATATGGACCACAAAACCTTAGGTAGTACAGTTGGGAGAAACATTCGCTGGAATATTCTCTAAGGAATAGTAATCTTGGAACTAGCCGTTACTGCTCGCCGAGATGGAGTTCTCGTCCTCGTCCTCATCTTCTATCAAGTCACCTCGACCTTGTCGACGACCTGCCATCTTCTCATGACTTCGAGCCTTTGAAATCAGGTTATCGTATTTTATTGATGATACGTGGCAGCCTTCGAAGGCTTTATTTTCGTTGACCTAGTTAACATATAACATGATGTTTTTTTTGCCTATACAGTTACTCCCTCCGCTTGTTGAGGTCGTCCTCATGGGCGAGTTCAATGAGCGAATAACAATGGTCGTGGTTGTTGTAAAAGGTGAGTGATGTGGCACCTCGAGGGTTGCATGTTTCAAACCTTTGGTTTTCCCGAGTAACTTCTGGAACAAACCTGTTCTTTGAATGGACGTGAAGTCATAATGTCATTCGTCATGATGATGCATGTTCCTGATACGTTGTGTCGATACACACGAGGCCTCTCACTGGTTCTGCCGTTTCTATTCTAGTTGCAATCATGATGCGCCGTATCAGATTCGGTGCATCTTCTCTATAAATAGGGAGTTTTTATCGTCTTTCAAGATTTACCTCCTTTAGAACCACCTTTGCTTCCTTTTGTTTTTCTGGCTCATCATCCCTGAATTTTCTTCTCTTGCTTGCCAACTTATAACTTTTCTCCATACTCTCAGCTTTCTTCTTCTAACTTTCCTCAAATTCCATAGTCATGTCGAACCTTACTTCTGATGTTAATAAGGAGGCTCAACCCACTCCGTTGGCTACTGTGGTCCCTGTTCACGGAGGAGACGCTATCTCCGCCACTGAAGTGGAGGCTCTTCCTTCAGCTGAGGAAATTATTCCCCGCAATCCTGAAGTAAAATCGTACTTTCAACGGCCGCCGAAGGTGATACTGAGATTTTTCGGTCTTCTATGACAGCCAAGCGTTTGGCTGAGTTCAAGGCCAATTACGGCCTTCCCCACCAGGTGGAGCTATTACCTACAAATAACGATGAAGTGCACGTTCACCGCCCTGGGTACTGCGCTCTCTACACTTACTTGTTCACCATTGGCTATTCGTTCCCTCTTCCTCCGCTGGTGGAGGAGTTTTGCCGCTATTATCGGGTCTGCCCTGCTCAGCTCGCCCCTATGTATACAAGGTAATTAATATGTTGTCGAAGTTCTCCAAGCTGGCTGGCGTCGAGATCGCGTTGCGACATTTAGTGCTTCTGTTCACGTCCAGCTTTTATCGAGGCACGATGCTGAATCTACGACATCGTGGCGGCAAGTGCTTGGTGGTTAAAATGGATGACAAAGGTAGTCGTCAATTTTGTCTCGACTTCATCTTTGTTAAGACTGAGATCGTCGTGGTCGATGCCTCAGATTTCCCTGAGGCTTGTAACTGCACTCGTAAGTACTCGTATTCTTGCTTCTACCTTTTTTAACTTGATTTTCTTCGGGGTTTGACTCATTGACATCCCTTTATTTGAAATTTTTATTCAAATAAGTTATGTAAAATTTTGATATTCAGGACTCTTATTATAAACTTTAAATTAGACAAAATCATAATTTAGTTATTTTCCTAATATTTAGAACTTTAAAATCAACTACAGTTTTGCTTATTAATACTATTCTTATTTGAATTATGGAAGTCTGAATATTAAGGACTTTAAAGTAGAAGTTATTTAGGAGAAATAGGAGTAATATTAGTTTTCTTTTCTTTGTA